CCCCCCGCCACCCCAGGGAAGCTCGATGACATCACTGTGCTCGTCTCGTACATCAGCCAGGCAGAGGTCTAGGTGGATGTCATACAAACGGCTGGGTGCCGCACCGGCTGCTTTGTGATGCCACACTTGCTGCCACACCCGCCTCGTGCCTCCTGGTAGCACAGCAACGGGGTTGAGCGGGCGGCCCTTGTTCCCGTGGGCAAGCCGCATGCACAACAGTTTTGAAGGTGCATCGGCGGGCCCCATGTTGAGAACTTTTGGGTTTGTGATCGCACGTACGAGCCTGGCGGCCTCGCCAGGGCACCACGCCCCCGAACCACCCCCGTGTGCGCGGGCGGTGCAGTGCTACGCTCTCGCCTGCTGCAGGTGCAGCCATGACAGCGCTCGGAGGCCCCGCAGACAGGCACCGCAGCCGCGCTGAGTGCGCCCGTGTGCAGGCTCACCGTAGGCGGCCGCCAGGGCCGCCTTCCCTTCCCTCTCCCCTGCGACAGATGCCATTTTGTGGTGTTTCAGTGTCGCTGCGCTGAGGCCAGGGCTTGAAGCCCTGTGCCCGGCCGCTGCGGCTGCGCATAACGCGCGCCGCTGTACATTGTGTGTAAACGTTTCTTCACAGCGCCACTGCAGCACGATGCTGCTGGCGCGCCCCCCGGGGCTCACATTCACACGCGACAAACCTGTTGGGGGCATGCTGCGCTGTTGAGAAGATCCGGGGTGTGCTATTGGGGCTGCATTGTGTCACGTTAGTTGCATGCTTGGTGTAACAACGGCTTTAAATCCACGCAGCCATGTCTTTTCTGAGGTGGCTGCTGTTCACCATCAAGGTACCAGCCAGTAGCAGGGCGGACCATCGTGCAGGCAGATGCGTGGCGCACCCCGGCAAGGTGAAACAGCAGATGCTCAAGAGGTTCCACTACACACGGCAGGCGTGCCCATCGCCCTTTGCAAAGTGCGTGCAGCGGCGTGCTTTAAGAACCAAGTATTTCATACCTTTGTCAGCTGGGATGGGCACTCTAATTGCAGAGCGCCACAGGGTACGCCTCTCACCCGGGTGACGCCCGTGTTGACCGACGCAGCCATATCACGAATGCTTGCACGCCCGTACCCATTGCCGTTGAGCCATATGTTGGCGTGTATGCAAATTTCACACCCGTGTCAAGTTTATAGAAGAGCGTACGCTCTTCGGGGCCCACTGCGGCCCGCATTCACGAGGCGATCTGGGGTCGGAGTCCGGGCATCAATGGCGGCCGCGTCAACGCTACATGCGTTGGCTTTGACTAGCCTGGGTGCCGCAGGCACGGCCTTGGGGGGCGTGCTCGTGTGCCTTCAGCCCACGATGGACTTTAAACGCCTGGGAATGCTGCAGGTGACAGGGTCAATGGTATTCAAGTTCAAAGACCACGTTCAAGCCTGAATACATGACCAGCGGGTACCATGCTCGGCAGCAGGTTGTTCGCTCGTGCACTGCTGCGCCGCGCTTGCTCTGCATGCAGAGCCCGCTCACCACTGGCACTACTTCATGCACCCCTCCACCTGGCCTCCTCGCAGGGGCTTGCTGCTGGCCTTATGCTGAGCATATCAATCATGGAGCTGCTACCAGATGCGATTTCAGAGATTGGGTTTGTGCCGGCGCAGATCTGGTTCTACACTGGCGTTGCGTTCTTTGCAGTAGTGGTGGCGTTCATACCGGAACCGGACATGGCGTACTTTGCAGCAGCGGTGCACACAGGGCAAGTAGATCGTTGGTATCTACAGGGTTGGTGGTGTTTGCGGTACAGCAGCCAGGCGTAGGTGTGCGTTTGTGTGCCAGAAACGGGGGGAATGTAGGTCGCAAGGTGCATGTTGCCACGCGGCAAGGACGTCCTACATCGTCATTGGTGTCAACAGGGGGACAGCAGAGTAGAAGTCATACTTACTTGCAGAGGCCGCTGACGCACCCGCCCGCACGGCGGCTGCACGCCTGCCACCCCGCAGCAGGGATGTGAAAGGCAGCGGCGACGGCGAGAGCAAAGACGACAAGGAGAGCACACGGCACCGCGCCAGGGTGCTCATGTCGGGGCTCATCACCGCGCTGGGCATCGCGCTGCACAACTTCCCCGGTGAGGCGGGCGGCGAGGGGGGGCACTTGTTGGTGTCAATTGGGTGGTGTGAAGGTTCATGACTGGCTGAGTGGGCAAGCGGCAGCAGCTGGGAGGTTGACCGAAAAACTACGTCAGTAGCAGCAGCAGCAGCTACGATGCAAAAAGGTGTGGAGCGACCCAATTTACGAGGACTGATAGCATCAGTTTCTGGCTATTGGACTGCTGGCGACGCCATTGCCGCATGTGGACTGCTATTGGCATGCCTCTGCTGACCTACCCACCTGGCAAACACTTTGATCTCTCAAGCACACACAAACAAGCATGCCCACTTACACACACACACACACACACACAATTCCACACCCTCACATACAACATACGCCCTGTGCAGAGGGCGTCGCCGTGTTCCTGGCCGCCCACAAGTCCAGCTCAATAGGCCTCAGCCTGGCCCTAGCCATCGCACTCCACAACATCCCCGAGGGCGTGGCCGTCGCGCTGCCCGTGTACTTTGCGACTGGCAGCCGCTGGAAGGGCTTCAACACCGCAGCACTGTCCGGCCTGGCGGAGCCGCTGGCGGTGGTTGTGCTGGCGGTGCTGCTCCCAAATGGGCAGTTGCCGCACGCGTGGGTCGAGATGGTGAGCCGGCCCCGATGTCAGGCACGGCCGCACACACAGCACGCCACTGCCCCATTGTGTATTACGGCGGCCAGTTTGCAGCCACTTACTTTTCCGCATGGGGGCTTCCGCATGTGGGTGTCACGGCCTGGCCCCTTCCTGAGCATGCGTCAAATTGTGTGGCCCCCACAGCAAACCCCCCCCCCCCCCCGCTCGCGCTAAACATACGAC